ATGGTTGACTTTAGGCAGAGTTCCAGTTTATGCAGGAGACGCAGCATTATTTGTGACACTGTGAATATTTATGCCACAGAGTCCTCCAAGTCGAAAGATCCAAACAGTTTGCTGTGTTTTTATTTCTCCTGGGAGTTGGGAAACTATGTTGATAAAAAACTTATCTTTGCCTCACAGAACAACAGTGTATCTGATATTCTTTAAAAAAGACTATGATATCTGTGATACGGGGTGCTTGGGCGCCTGACTCCTCCGTGCTCCCTTGTTCACTTTCCTGTAGCGTATTGATCTTTTTCTGGGATTGTTTATAGGATTCTGTGTGTCTAAAAGGAGACCTATTGATTTCCTTTTTGGGGGTTCTGCCACAGCAGAGGTCTAAGTCTCACCCATAAAATTATACACATAATAAAATAAGTCAACTTAATCATACATAATGAGTCTCTGTGGTGAAAAATTCATTTTTAATGGTAATCTTTAATCTTTTGTCTTAGTTTCAGGATATCTTTGATGTGGTGTTTCTGGGCCGAACCTTTTTCAGCCATGGCGTCTGTCGCTGCTCATGCAGCGAAGACTCAGGCAGTTAGCCTTCTTTAAACCAACAAGCTCCTCTAGACACATAAATCCCTCCAAATTAATCCAACATTGGAACAACCAATGTAAATACATAACAAAAAGGAGATAAGAGTGGAGCCAAACTGGAGATCTATCATATGGGACTGGGGATATGTGATTTCTTATTGTCAATAAATCTCATGAAAACAACAGAACCAACAGAGCTCCATTACTGTTCTTCATTATCATAGTTTATTTTGAAGCAATTCCACATACACAAAGTGTGTATGAATCCACAACTGGAAATAGTCAACAAACAAATAGACTATTTACTCCTGTTTAAGTAGCGGCTGTTAAAAACTAGACTGCCCAGTACTGTTTTAGGAAATTACTGAGCCTTTTTTTTTAAAAATGGAACTATTTGTGACCAGATTGTTAAAGATTTACACCCACTGGTTCAGTAGGAACCAGTGGGCTTAGAGCTGAGAGCCACAGGCAGCAGAGGAGTTGAAAAGTATTTAGAAATAGATTAGCACATGACACATTTAGTTTAGTTTGGGTTTTTTTACACTCCCAACAACCCACATCTGTAGAGGAAAAAACCTAACAGCCACAGCCGAATCACTATCTCCACCTGAGTTCAGACAGGACAGAGATAATAACTGATGCTGTGGGGTGAGCTGGGGTTGGGTAGGAGGGCTTGGAGGACTGGGTCTGAGGCTAGATGGGTTCACTTGTAGCAGACGGTCTGAACATAGCTCATTGTGTCCTCCATTTTTATTGTCATTTCCACACAGACTCTGGCAAGGTGAGACAGATTAATGAATATGGATGTCTATAAACACAGAAGCCGGGAGTATCGGCAACAAATGAGGAAGGATTTTCAGATCTGACACTTTGAACAGTTCTTTTCTCTGACAAATCCGAAAGTATCTCAGCTGTCAGGCGTAAGAGGAGTACAAATTTGTACTGAGGTTGCCCTCTGCATCCCCTGTCTAACTCCATGCCCCATAAATGTCACTTTTCTGTAAAGTAACACATGATGCATGAGCATGAATATCCAGGCTTTCTATTCTAATAAAAGACAATCCTTGCATACATTTTAGAGGGAAATAAAATCATTCTTTTTGTATATTACCTTAATATAATGTGTTACTTTTAATTTGTAAAAAGATACAACAAGCACTAATTACAATGTAAGGAACTGCATGTCTACATGTTATTTTTTTTAAAGTAGCAGATGTCATATTGGGACAAAATTGGTGTTCGCAGACTACTTTCACTGTTGTGATATGTTTACAGAAGCAGGCTGTTAAATAAACTGCACAAAATACTGAGGCAATGTAAGCTCATTCAGTGGCGATGATGCAGTCAAGGGCAGCGGTTATTCATCTCAGGCTGATCTCCTGATAGAACATGATGCCAAATGCAGACATCCCCTTGGCTCACTGCATTTTGCGCTATAGGCAAGAGTTTGATGTTTGGTTGAGAGGACAGGGCAGCAGCAAAGTGGATGCTTGGAGCGCTTCCAGGGATTAAACTCATGAATCTAACAGCAGCCAGTGGTCATCATGACACAAACACTGCATGGGTGGTAACGCATGCACAGCGTGGGGTCTTTGGCTCAGAAAAAAACTGAAAAAATTGAAACCATAAAACCATAAACGCCTGCAGACTTTCCTTCCTTCTTCATATTGCACATTTTATGTGTACTACATTTTTATTAGATGTGACATATGTTTTGTGGCTCATGTTTTGAAAATTAAAATAAATTAATGAATAAAACAATTATGAGACACAAATGATAAATAAAAAAGAAGGAGCTGTGTATTTGAGATCTTTTTTTTGGACACATTTGTATTATTGACAAATCTAAAGCATTTATCTGTCTTATATAAAATCATATTACAGTGTTTACAAAGTAGTACGGAAGAGGAGAGTGGGTAACTGCTAATTTTTATTTTACTTGTTATCTCCAGATCACAACTTAATTATCTTATATCTCAAGGAATCATACTTTAATTCCAGTATCTCATCATCACAAGATAACACTGAACTGCCTTCACGACATCACAACTTAATTATGTGACTGATTATGTTTTTTTTTTACCTTCACTACAATAAAATCTTGTGCTCAGACAGTAAATGACGATTGAATGGATATCTTCCACTCTGATGTCTGCACTCCGGCTAGACTGGATTTCTCTTAAAGGTCGATGCTGGCTCAAAGGTTGTGAAACACTCATGCGTCATTGATCGGTTATTATGAGATAATTAAATGAGCACTGTGATAATATTACTTTGTTTAAACTGCATATCAACATATTTTAGTTTATATTCCATGTAATCCACCTAAATGTATTGTGAGTATGTTTAAGGCATTATATTTTCTACCTTAAACCATTTGCAGCATCTTTTTGTGAATGCTTTGAGACGTGCATTGAGGCTTGCTCTTGTGTTTGTGTAGCTGTTAGCTTTACTGCTACCGTCTTAGTGTCATCTTAGTGCCTCTAGCTTGTGCGTGCATCACTGTACGTGTGCGGGTAGTAACCATACAACCATTAAGATTATGAGGCTTTCATGTGATTTTTAAGTGATCGAAATCCACCCGTGTCATGCTTTTCTTTCACATGTGATGTTTTTATATTTCACTTGTGAATTAGTGTAAAATGTGCCTACATCATGTGAATTCATCGCGTGAAATCTGCATGAAATCTTCACTTGAAATAGTCTTTCTACATGTGATAAACATGTAGATAAATACTTTTTTGTAAGGGAAAACTTCTACATATACAGCTCAGCTAGAGGTAAAAAAAAAAAAAACGTTTTATTTTTAAATTCGCAAACCTCAGCGGTGCATGAAGCTAGCGAATTCGCCTATTGAAGCCTACAACATTAACATCATAGAATCATTAACATGACAAAGCATGCTAACAATTGCTCATAATTTGTTAAGCTCGGGCATAGTAACAGTACCAGTAACCACAAGAATATATTACATGTATGTACACATATAAATGAAATATAACAGATTACAGTGTGTAATCTGGTCAGGTCAGGGCACTGGATGAAGCATTTATAAGCTGCATTAGTTTGATTACTCTAAAACCCCCACAGTTTACAGGCCTGGTCAGTAATCAGATTTCCCTCTAACCTTCTCCCAACAGAATCTGACATCATTAGCAGCTCTAAACATCAATGGACCATGAGCAGATTTCACATGCAAGGTAACTTGCAAATCTCAAAACGTGGCACCCAACCATAAAAACAATGACTTTAAGAAAGTTGGTCAGCTATAGGGCAAGTAACAAAACTAGAATTCAACCAGGTGTATTTTTCTGAAACTAACAGTAGCCTATAACTCAGGTTTTTGAGGCGACAGTGTTCGATCCATATGGTACAGCCAAAGCAAGCCAAAAGGTTTAGCATGCTATGGATGAACTGCTTATGTTGATTTATATTTTGCTTTTATGGGTTGAATTATTATTATTGCTATTTTTATTCTTATTATGTACCAGATGTTTTTGATAAGTGCAGATTATCGGACAGAATAAAGACCTCTCACAATATAACCTATATATAACAGCACCACAAACTCCTCCAAAATGATCATATACCCTTCATGAAGTGAGGATTCGCAGTATTAGACTGCAGTGGTTTCAGCTAACCTTTAAAACTGGCAACTGAGTGTATTTGATCATTTGGTGCACATACTATACTACCACTTATAGTTGTAGTTGGCTGGCATCAGTAGTGCCAGTCATAAGGTATTAGTGGAAACAGCAGGATGTATTAATTGCAGCAGCATAATAGAAGCAACAATGTCTATTATTAGGTGCATTAATATTACTTGCATGACCATAGCTGCTGCAGTATTATTTATTTAGATCAGTGACTGAACTAAGTTTCCAACTCTGCTGGATGAACAAAAGAAAAAAAGAAATGAGAAATATGTGATTAGCAGTAGCAACAACAAGGGGTGCAGTAGTAATATGGTTGTATCAAACACATTCTAATTTATATGGTAGTTGCATTTATCCATGCACTTCATACAGGGCGCCCCAGTTTAATTAGCCATTGTAATCACTGTATATGATCTGTGGCTTTAATGTTTTGTAAGAAGCAGGAAGTCTATTGTGGCTTTTTTTTTTACAAAAATAACCGTTTATTGATTGACTCAAACCCACACTCAACCCCTGACTTTGCAACTATTAATCAGGGATTATGCAAATGTAAAGGAAGCGCATGCACTAAAACGTTTGGCTGTTATTATTCAACTTGAACATCGCTTGGCAGTTGCAAACGCAGCCCCACCGGAGCACTAATCTCCCATTCTTCCATCTCCCTTTTGTTTTTGTCCGTCGTATGTGTATGTATGTGTGTGTGTGGCTTTTTTTCTTTCTTCTTTTCTTTCCTCCCCTTCTCCTCTTTTTTTTTTTTTTTTTTAGTCCGCCGTGTTCTGCTGGGGACTTGTGAATGGCAGCCAATGGGAGGGTTGAGTCCCCTCAGCCTCTCAGCCTCCCTGACATCCACAGCGAGAAGTGATGCAGCGCGACTGAGACGCGCAGTTGAGGTGGAACAACGGGCAACAAAAGCTGCAGTGAACGGATACACTTGGTCTCCGACGTGCGCCTCGGCGAGCCTGGGAAAAAAAATCTGCTCCTAGAATAAACTTCATTATCAGGTGAGCGGAGGCTTTTTTTTTGCTTACAACTTCTATCCGCTGTGGAAATTGTCTCATTTGTGGCACATTCGCTGCTCGAACAGAGATCAGTTACTTCTTCTGCAGCGTTTGGAGCCTATTTGGAATCGTCCGAGCCGGGTTATTCTGGGTTGCTCACACACTAATGAACCTATGCGAAATAGTTGTGTCGCTTAGAAGAGCTTCATCTCCTCTTGTGTATGTGTCCTAATGAAATCGCCCGTGGAGCACAATCCATATTGAGTAATTATTTGAAGAGCTTCGGGCTTTGAATTGGAAATGAGTTTGAATCGGAAGTTATTTCTATTGACTGCTAATTCATTCAACTTATAGCGGGGTGCTGGGGGTGTGTGGGGGGGTCAATCGATGACCGGCGGGTTCATCAACTTTTTGTATTTTGTTAAATGGCCCTGTGCCCCTCCGGTACAGAGGTCCTGCACGACGCAGCACGCGTAACCCAGCCGCGCTCGGAGTGATGCGGGCGAGCAGGCCTGGGTCTCCAAACGCACCTTTATTCGCCTTTATTCTGTCACGCATGAAACTTAAGGGCCTTTGCAACGCTTGCTTGGATCTATCGGTGTTCTGTTTTATTTTATTTTTATTT